AAAGTTGTTTCATTTGCTTTTTTTTTTTTTTGCTTTTTTTTTTTACTTTTATAAGAAGGTGGACGTGGGTTCATCTTTTAACCCCTTCTTGGGCCTGCATGTAGGTGCAGCAGAAATTCCATCATCTTTGTTTTACAGCTAGAGAAACTGAGGCTCAGAGAGGGAATGGCTGTGCCACAGTGGGGTGTATAAAGTTTGGGGCTTGCTTTTGTCACTTAACTTTATGTAACATAATGTAGAAATGTGTAGCTGTAGCTCATTTGTTTTCACTGCTCCCGAATATTCCACTGAGCGATTACACCACCCTGAATTCATCTGTCTTCCTGCCCTTGACTGTTTGGGTTGCTCCCATGGCCTTGTAGTTAGTACCCTTGAACATGTTTCTTTTTGCACATGTACAAAAGTTTCTCTTGGGTCCATGAGGTCACAGGCCTGGGCAAGGGCCTCCACCCCACTGCAGCACAGCCACCCCCTCTCTGAGCCTCAGTTTCTCCATCTGTAAAACAGAGATGACGGAATTCCTGCTGCACCTACAAGCAGGCCCAAGAAGGGGTTAAAAGATGAACCCAAGTGCACCTTCTTATCCTGGCAAAGGTCTGGTGCCAGGAAAGGGAAGTGGTGTACAAGCTGCAGGCCTGAGGGAGGGATGTAGCTCCTCTCCCACCTGAGTGGCCCCAGGCAGGTGGAGCACCCTTCATATCCACCCATGTTCTCTGCAGGGCGGGACCCGCCCAGGTCTGCTCGATGCCTGGATCACCCAGCCCACGCCTGGCAGGGAGAGGGGAGAGGAGGAATGTTTATTCTTCCCTTCTGGACAGAGCTCTCCCTCCTAAGCAGCCCTTCCCTCACTGCTGGCTGCTGTGCTTATGATCATGATTATGTGCATATAGTCATCAGTTTCTGAGCTGCAGCCCTCAGACTAGGCAGAGAAAGACCAGGCTGTTCAAGCCTCTTGTACTTTGCCCCAGGAGAAGGCTGTGGGGCCACCCCAGGCATCACCCTGAGCTGATTGGCTTAAAATTGTGTACCTAGTATGGCTGTGATTTAATAAACTTGGTTGCTTTCTTTCCCCAGGCAAAATTCCATTAATCCTCAGGCTAACAGACAGCAGATTAGAAAGGACAAGATGAGAGCTTCTGGGGCAAAGAGTAGTGAAAGAGAAGACCAGGAAACTGGAATGAGCAAGAAGGGGCAGGAGAAATGCCTGCAGGATGGGGCAGGGCAGTGGGGTACAGGTCACTGCTATGGGGCAGGTTCAACAGTATTTTCTAGGTGGCACTACAGGGTCACCTCCCCCACGCCCCCCACTGTGTGCTTAATAAGAAAAGGGTATTTGATGCATTTTATTTATATATATATATATATACATATATATCTTTATTGATTTCAAAGAGAGTAAGGGAGAGGGAAAGAGGGAGAGAGAGACATCAATAATGAGAGTCATTGATCCGCTGCCTCNCTTGATGCATTTTATTTATATATATATATATATACATATATATATGTATATATATATATATATCTTTATTGATTNTCTTTATTGATTTCAAAGAGAGTAAGGGAGAGGGAAAGAGGGAGAGAGAGACATCAATAATGAGAGTCATTGATCCGCTGCCTCCTGCATGCCTCCTACTGGAGATCCAGCCCGCAACCCCAGCATGTGCCCTGACCAGGAATCGAACCGAGGTCTCCTGGATCCTAGGTCCATGCTCAACCACTGAGCTATGCTTGGCCGCCTTGATGCATTTTAGAAAATGGCCTCCCTAAAATGAGTAAAACAAAACCCAGGGGATTAAGAGAATAAACTTCCATTATCTGGAAGAGTCTCAAGTAAAATTTAATTTCCTGAGACCACAGGATAATTGAGGCATTGGTCTAGTAGTGCCATCAACAATTTGACTTTGATGGCTTGAGATCTTAACTTTTTTTTTTTTTAAATATATCTTTATTGATTTCAGAGAGAGGAAGGGAGAGGGAGAGGGAGAGGGAGAGATAGAAACATCAATGATGAGAGTCATTGATCGGCTGCCTCCTGCACACCCTCCCCTGGGGACCAAGGCCGCAACCCAGGTATGTGCCCTGATGGGGAATTGAACCGCAATCTCCTGGATCATAGTTTGATGCTCAACCACTGAGCCACGCCTGCTGGGCAAGACCCTAAATTTTTTATATGATATGGCAGATGTGGAAACTAAGACCCAGGGAGATTGAGTGATTTTCCAAATGTCACACAGCATTAGGGTTACAATCAAGATTGCCTTGTAATCTACTGCGCCAGGGACCTTCCCTGTCACTGTCCCTGTAGACCCCCTTCTTCCTTACTGTATATAGGCATTCAAGCAGCTACATTAAGGACACACACACTCTCTGCCTTGAGCCCTAATTATGATGTTTCCAAATAGAGAACATTCTGAAATGTTGTAACTATTGATGTCTTTTACAGCCAACCTAGGTTCAGAGGTGCTCAGGAAGCTGGTTTATTCTAAACTCCCTGAAATAAATTTGCTGACTCAGGGTTCAGAATAATAGTAACTAGCCTTTAGACCATGGAGTGTAGCTCCCCCTACCCCTATTCTTTACCTCAGGGGTAACCAGATGCAAGCAAGCTACATTGGCCATGGACTTTGACTACAGTTCACATCAGGGGAGACCAGTTGTCCTGGGCACCTCCAATCCACAACACAAGTGTGTTCTGATTGGCAAGTTGCCCTCTCCCCTGCATAGAACCGGGCAAGTTGGGGCTGGAGTAGGAACATGGAGAGGTTTCGTCACCTCTAGTTTGGGTTTCCTCCCAGAAAGTGGGTCACTCCTTTGCCTACACAGCCTGAGGAGCTGCCTCCTGTTTCTTCTGAGTACCCAGAGGGGCAGGGCCACTCTCCCCTCCAGCTGTCCTGCTCCCATAACCTACCTGGCCCAATTTATTCAAATGATCCTTTAAGAAAAAAGGAATGTCTTTCCTCCAAATTAAATAAAAACAAAGAGGTAGGGAGAAGCCAAAAGGCATCCTTTCTGAGGCCTGATGCTGAGCAGGGAGAACCCGTGATGACTGGTTGCAGGCTTGGCACAGTCCTCACGTAGCACATGCTTGGTGCACAGCCGCAGCTATGACCACACTCCAGAGGTGTTCAGGACACCTCCCAGTGTCACCACCGTCCCTGAGGCAGTCCAAGTCCCACTCCTGACATTTAACTGTTCCCACCATTTCTGGTTTACTGCCTAGGACTCTATGTGCCTTGTGTTGCCTGCCCCATGGTGTCACTCCTCCCTGTCGGCTACAGCCTGGTTTGGAGGAATCCCTGCTGGCAAGGGGACAGGTGGAAAGTGTCTGCCACCTCCTTGAAGGCTCTAGGTGGTCCTTGGGCCCAGGACTGTCACAGTTGTCTTCCCCGGACCTGGAGAAGGATCAGGTCTATTCTTGCCATGTCTAGAGTACTGAGGACCACCTGGAGGGGCTGTGTTGGGGCATGTGGGAAGGAGGTTTCCGGGGGTGCTGAGTTTGGGGTCTTGGTGCAGCTGAGTAGGGCCATCACTCCCTGAGCTGGGGACACAGGAGGAGGTTAACAGGGATGCCTGATGTTTTTGGTGTCTCGGGCACCCAGACGGCTGAAAAGAGATAGGTAGGAACTCCGAGATACAGCAGGTGTAGATTCCAGGGTCAGGAGTGTGGCCATGAACAGGACCAGACAAGGGGTAGCGGGTGGAGGAGCGCTGGGAGGAGGGAGCCTCAGCAGTATGGAAAGCCCTCTGCCCTGTGGAGCAGCCCCCAGACTATGGGAGAGTGACATGCAGACAGGACAGCAGATGCTGAGAGGTACAGAGCCACTGCCTGGGAGACAAGTTCCCAAGTTGGCTCCTAAATGGAACGGGGTTCTGTGTGATTTTCCAGATTAGAGCAGGAGTTGTTTTTCTCCACAGACCCATTCTGTCTGCTCTGCCCCTTATCTCCCAGGCCCTGGCTCCCTGCCTGTGTCCAGCTCCGCCCCGCCTGGCCCCAGAGGCCCAGCCAGTGTGGTTACTGTGTGATGGTGCAAAGTGCCCTTCCTGGAACTGCAGCTCCCTCCCCAACCCAGGCCACAAGCCAGCAGGCTGCTCTGTCCCAGGACACTTCATGCCATCCACTCCCTTAGCCTCTCCTTCACTCCACATCCCCCAGCCTAGGCCCTGTCTCTGGGGCTCCCCTAACCCCAGCTGCTCCTCTAGGCCAAGGAGAAGGGTAAGGGGAGCACAGGGTCCAAGCAGCAGGGCCCACGAAGAGCTGCCCTGGGCAGGGGAAGTGCCCAGCCCCAGTGTCCAGAGCACTCGGTCTCCCTGTACAGGCCTGGGGCTCATGGTCTATGAGGCAGGTGGGATAAGTGCCTGGTAGCCCAGCTCGGTTACACTGGCACCTGCTGCTGGACCCATCACACCCACCTCCCCTAGCACCAACCTGTGCTTCAACCACAGCCAGTACACTGTGACCTTTCACCCTTTGGTGCTGGGCATGGGCCAGTCCTTCTGCCGGGGTGTCTTTTCCCAACCCTACTCCATCCACCACAAACCCCTTACCAGCCTTCTGAGAGAAGGAGAGAGACGCCACTTAAACATCTTACTTCCCCCAAGGGAGCCTCTCCAGACTTGCACAGATCGGGGTGAGCACCACAATTCATGCCCTGTGTCTCCGTGTCTCTTCTGGGTGGGCGCTGTGACTGTGTACCACCCCTCTAGGCTGTGGGTTCCTCAGTGGAGGGGCCCTGCCTCCCTCTCCTTGGGTGTTCTGTGCCTGATGTGGGGCCTGTGCTGGGGTTGCTGTTCAGAGAATGTGGGATGGATGGATGGATGGATGGATGGATGGATGGATGGATGGATGGATGGATGGAGACAGAAGCAGGCTGCAGGAGTGTGGGTGGGGCCTGGAGAGACGGCTTCAGCAAGTGAGGGTTAGGAGTGCCATGTGGGAGAAGGAGCAGGTCCAGTGGCCAAGCCCATGCCAACCCTCAAAGCCCCTTGTCTTCCTCTTGTAGATGAAGATGACGCCAACAGACTCGGGGAGAAGGTGATCCTTCGGGAGCAGGTGAAGGAGCTCTTCAATGAGAAATACGGTCAGTTTCCCAGGGCAGCGCCCATGGGGCAGTCTGTGGAGCCAGTCTTCCTGGGTGGCCCCTCCTCCCTCGGCAGCCAGCTGGCCTCCGGTTGCCCCCAGCTGGCCTGCCAGCTCCTTGGGGACATAGTTGCTCTGCCCATGATTGATAGAAACTGATCCTTCATTCCCCCTGTCGGAGAAGGGGAAAGAGCCCCAGTCTGTGGTGTGCAAGGCAACCACAGCAGTCAGCATTTCTGCTCCTCTGGGGCTGGGCTGTGTGGCAGAGGCCGTGGCCCACAGCCAAGTGCTTATGCACATACCCGTCTGCCCAACCAGCACTTAGCCCTGAGGACTCCAGAGCAAGGAGTCTGCTCCAGCCGTCAGGGGGCTCAGTCTGTGGAGGGCGATGGACATGGGAAAGATGAGCGCCAGGAGATGCTAGGCCCTGTGCTGAAGGCATCCAGGGCAGAGCCCAGGAGGGGACAGTTAAGAACGCTGTTACAACTGATACAGCACTTTCTAGGTTATTAAGTGCCAGGCTGTACCAGGTGCTATACATGCATTACATTTTATGTGTGAGGAATTTAGCATTATCTTCATTTTGCGGTATAGCAGAGGAGATATAACAGTAAATTTTTACAAGGAAGAATTTCAGAGAGTGAGAAGGGAAAAGAAAATTCAGCGGTGTGGCCAAGAAGGAGAGGAAGGGCCTGGGAGGGGGAGGGCCAAGCTTCTCTGGCTAGGTGAACAGGAAAGCCCCTCCAAGAGGCGCTATTTTAACTGAGACTTTAATATCAAGAGGGGACAAACACTCAAGGGAAAGCGTGCCAGACAGAGGGAGCAGCTCTGTGACTGGGGACCAGGGAGAAGGCCAGAGGGCCAGGAGCATGAGCAAGAGGCAGGGAGGTTCCTGGTGCGGCAGAGAGGTGGGCAGGCCTGAGGCGAGTCAGGGTTTCATTTTGAGAGTAAGTGGGAAGCCTCTCTGCTGGTGGTTTGTGCTGTTGTCTTTTTCGCTTTTTATTTTGGAACCAGTTTTCAAGCACACGCAAAAGCGGAAAGAATGACATAACGGCCCACCCTGTCACCCAAACCCAGCTTCTGTGATTACCAGCATTTTGCCCGTCTTATTTTATCTATTTCCACATACTCACTTTGCTATTTTTAATACTTTAAATCCAAGACATCATATAAACATAAAAGTAGTGGATTTTAAGCAGCTACCAAGTCCTCATTTGTCCGCTCTAGGTGTGCACATTTTTTAAAAATATGTTTTTATTGATTTTTAGAGAGGGATAGAAAAAAACATCAATGAGAGAGAAATATCATCAATCGCCCCCCTCCTGCACATCCCCCACTGGGGATCGAGCCCACAACCCAGGCATGTGTCCTGACCGGGAATCAAAGCGGTGACCTCTTGGTTCCTGGGTCGACGCTCAACCCTGAGCTACACCAGCCAGGCTAGGTGTGCACATTTAACTAATCATTGCATCAGGCACATGTGATGATACCTGTTTCATTAGCATTGGGTATTAGGTTTTTAGTTTTACTAATTATATTTTTTAAATGTGTGTGTGTGTGTGTTGACTTTTAAACTCTCTCTGGGGTGTGATGGCTGCTGCACTGGACTCTGCCAAGTTCCAGACCTTCCCCAGAGGGCTTGACCTTCTACAGAGGACATCTTCTCCATCCCTGACCCCCTGTGCCCTCTAGGTGAGGCCCTGGGCCTGAACCGGCCTGTGCTGGTTCCTTACAAACTGATCCGGGACAGCCCAGATGCCGTCGAGGTCACAGGACTGCCTGATGACATCCCTTTCCGGAACCCCAACACATACGACATCCACCGGCTGGAGAAGATCCTGAAGGCCCGGGAGCATGTCCGCATGGTCATCATCAACCAGCTCCAGTGAGTGCCCCTAGCACCTGGGCTGGGTGAGAAAAGTGGGTGGGGGCCACGGGAAAGGGTGCTGCCTGGATCCGAGAGGGGAATGCCCAAAGCAGGCCCCTCCAAGAGTTGGGGAAGGGGAGAGTGAGATTAAGAGACCTATCATGCAGTCGTACGGAATGCAGGAGACAGGCTAGTTTAACACTCAAATCTTAAAGCTAAGGGAAACTGACACCCAGATCAAGGAAAGGGACAGTGGAAGTCACAGTGGGTCAGCTTGGCTTCAGACCCAGGTAGCTTACTCTGTCCAGGCTGCTATAACGAAATACTGTAAACCAGGTAGCTTAACAAAAACTTATTTCTCATAGTTCTGGAGGCTGGGAAGGTGCCAGCAGATTCACTTTCTGGTTTATAGATGACCATCTTCTCCCTGTGTCCTCACATGGTAGAAGGGACAAGGGGGCTCTCTGGGGTCTCTTTTATAAGGCATCAATCCCATTCATGACAGCTCCATCCTCGTGACCTAATCACCTCCCAAAGGCCACACCTCCTAATACCATCACATTGGAGACTAAGTTTCAACATTGAATTTGGGGGGGACACAGACACTTAGTCTATATCACCAGGTATTCTGATTATAACCCTTTTCTACTGAAACACACAGCCTCAACAGTCATGCGTGTTAGTTTATTTTTAAAATTTTCATTAAATTTGACCTTCTGACTCTATCATTAATTTTTACCCATTTTAATGGTATTTATAAAATAACTCATTTAAGCCCTGGCTGGTGTTGCTCAGCGGTTGGAGCATTGGCCCATGCACCAAAGGGTCACAGGTTTGATTCCCGGTCAAGGGCATGTACCTGGGTTGCAAGTTCGATCCCTGGCCCTGGTCGGGGCATGTATAGGAGGCAACCAACCAGTGTGTCTCTCTCACATCAATGTTTCTCTCTCTCTCCCCCTCCCTCCCTCCCGCTCTAAAAAAAAATAAATATCAGTCATTTAATATTCCCATTACCCAGAGATAACCATTGTCCATATTTTATTTTTATTTTTATTTATTCTTGTCCATATATTACCATATATCCTTATAGTGTTTGGTTTTTTTTTTAAATAGAATAGTTTGTTTATTTTCAAATTTAAAAACAAAGTAGGAAAATCCAAAAAGGTAGAAGAAGATAATCCATAACTCCCCTCTTCAGAGTTCACATTGTGGTGTGTTTCTTCCATATTTTTCCCCAACACAAATTTCCTTTTCAGTTTCATACTAGATGTTTTAAAATTAAAATAATATTTACATGTGTACAAAAAAAGTCAAATCATTCAAAAAGGTCTTCAATGAAGAATAGAGGTTTCCTTCCCCTCCCTCCACTCCCTGAAGTAACAACTGGAAAATACAGGAAATCATAGGAGGAAATGCCCACCGCCCCACCCCCCACAGGCCAACCTGACAGAGAAAACTGCACACACATTCTGGGGCTTTCCTTCCACATTTCCACTTTTCTTTTAATGCCTCTTAGACATGCTTTTGGGGAAAATGAAACTGAGATCATACAGTATTTATTTGCAGACTAAATAAAACTTGATGTCTCCTGTCTGGCGGTCTTGATTGCACGGGAGCGTTGTTTGTGTCCATGATAATTTCCTTTAATGACTGTACAGATGGACCATATTGTCTCTACTGATGGACATTTGGGTTGTGTCTAAGGTTTTTTTTGGTTTATATAAATAATGCTGCCAGTAAAATAATCAATAAAATAAAAATAAAGGATTTGTAAAAATTAATGCTGTGATGAATATCCATTTACAGAAATCTAGGCACACACTTCTGATCACTGAGTGAGACCACACCCTTGCTTTGTAGATGAGGGAACCAGACCCCAAGAGGCCATTTGCCTGGCACAGCACTTAATCAGGCCAGGCTGACTATTCTCCGCCTGTCTGCTCTGTGGGGAGAGCCGGTGCTGACCATTTTCATCTGGGTCTTCCCTGGCTATACTCCAGCAGCTTTGGTAGCATCTCATCTCACAAGAGATGTCCATATTCAGGATGCAGGTGAGAAGGAAAAGGAAAAAACCTCGTTTTCTAACTGCCACCTCATTTCTTTTTCAGACCCTTTGCAGAAATCTGCAATGACGCTAAGGTTCCAGGTAAGTCAGAGGCTGAAGGAGCCACCCTTCTACCTCTCAGGGGCCATCTGTGGACTTATAGCAGATGGCATGCAACAGGTGGCTGGCAACCTAGAGAAAAGTATATCCCTCCCACCAAGTACTTCTCCAGGTAACCTGAGATCTCCATCTGCAGGGCCAGTATTCCCAGGAGGCCCCAGGAAGCCTGTAGGTGCCCTTTGGAGGGGGGCCCTGCCACAGCACAGCTGAGCATGTCAGATCAACTAGAGAGGAAGGATGAGGGACCGGCTGGAACCAGGAGGAGGGGATGTCAGGCTCATGGAAGCCACCTGGGGAGAGAAGGGGTGATGAGTCTGGCAGGGGCAGGGTAGGTGGGTGCTTCCTGAGACTGCCCTCAATTCTGCCTGCATTTGCAGGGCACATGCCTGCACCTACCACTGGGCTTTTAGAACCTTTCAGTTTGCAGGAACCTGGGAAACTGTCTGGTACAACAGTTCTGATTAAGATGTGTGATAGGACTCAAGATGATGTACCCCTGGGTGATTAGGAGATGTGCCGTCATTGTACAGCTGGGAAACTGAAGCCAGAGATGGGGAAGGACTTGCCAAGGCCACATAGTGAGTTGGTAGCCACCCAGAGCCCTGTGTCCAGACTATCCGTCTGAATCGCAGGCCACTGTGGACTGCAGGCTCCAGCGTGGCTGCTTGGTGGGAACAGTAGTGGGATTCAGCAAGGCCACCCCACCCCAGCCTGAAACCTGAGACCCCCAACTCCAGATAGGTCCAGGTTCACCTGAATCGCCACTGCCTGGGGTGGCACGGCCCAACCAGAGACCACCTCCTCCTGTCATGTGCCCATCAAAAGGACGGGGCAGGCCACCAGGCACTTGGAGTAGGGAGGTGACTGGGTTTGGGAGCTGCTCCCAGGTCAAAAGCAGAGACACAGAAGGCCCTGAGGAGGCCTCAAGGAGGAGGAGAGTTTGGGACGAATTATCAGAGGATAGATGCAGTCACTTGCATCCACCACTCCCTCACCATGGCTGTCTATAAGGCCTATAGTACCCACGCTGGCCACAGCCCGAGGCCAGCACCTCTGGCTTCTTTTTAACGGGGAGCTGAAAAGGGTCTCCTAGGTACCTGCAAACTGAAAGATTCTATTTTTTTTAATCCTCACCCAAGGATATTTTTTTCTATTGCTTTTTAGAGAGAGAAGAAGGGAGAGGGAGGGAGAGAGAGAGAGAGAGAGGCATTGATTCGAGAGAGACACATAGATTGGTTGCCTCCTGCATGCCTGCAATCGAGCCTGCAACCGAGGACCCTTCAGTCCACAGGCTGACACTCTAACCACTGAGCTAGACTGGCTGGGGCTGAAAGAGTCTTAAGCCCAGGGTCTGCTGTAGGCATGTGCCCTGCAAATGCCCAGCCAGTCTCCAGCAGCACTCACTGCCTCCCACAAAATTCCCTCCTCCCTAGCTCACAGCCTGGGCTCTCCTGCCTTCAGAGTCTTCTATTTCCCCGGGGCCTCTATTTATATCACATCACAGACCCCCAGGCTTTGGTTTTTCTTCAGCTGGGCAAACAATTGCCCATGGGCCCAGCCTGCCTTCCTGCTGTGTCATTAAGACCCTTCTGGTGGGCTGTATTAGGTTTCTACTCAGTAACTGGTCCACTCAGTCAAGCGCCAAGCCCCACTTATGTAGCACACACCTGCAAATCTTTTTTATAAGTCTTACCTGTATCAGTTCAATTCAGCAGTAACAAAACACCTGCTGAGTCCTGCTTTGTGCTGGGTTTGGTACTAGGCTCTTCCACACACGTAATCTCCTTGGCGTCTCACAGCACACTGTTTCCCGCTTTAGGCTCAGAGAGCTTAACCAGTTTCCCAGGGTCATACAGCTGGTAAGTGGTAGCAGTGAAATTTGAACTTGAGACTTAAGGCTCTAAAACAGGAGGTTTTTTTACACTAGGAGACTGCCTTATCCACTTGTACCTGTGAACTGTCATCTGTCACAGCATGGTCAGGTTAGGGTGATCACATATCTGAAATAACAGAAGCAATAATATCGATACCAGTTCTCAGTTTCTGAGGATTTATTGGAGGCCGGGCACATTATCTCATGGGACCCTCCCAGCAGCTCTGTAGAATCTTTACATTTTCCTGGCACAGAAAGAAAGATGCAGGGCATTTAGTGACTCTCCCAACGCCCAAGTCGTGTGGTCCCAGAGGCTGTGCTCTTCCCCGTGGGCTTCCCGGCCCCAGGGGGGATCCTGGGAGTGCTGGGGAGGCCTCGCCGGGAATGAGGACAGTGTTAGCAGAGGCACGCGGGCAGGTGGGAGCAGGTGGGGGCAGGACAAGCGGGCTGTGGGGCCTGGCTTGAGAGAGGGGCCTCAGCTGGTGGGTTGGGGGCTTTGGCTTCTGAGAAGGGGACTTTAAACCTGAAACACAAAGGCCTTCTGCAGGGTGGCTGGGGAGGCCCAGACACAATGGTCTTGGCCTCCAGCGTCAGCAACATTTTCTCCCACCAGCCAAAGACAGCAGCATCCCCAAGCGCAAGAGAAAGCGGGTCTCCGAAGGGAACTCGGTCTCCTCTTCCTCCTCGTCTTCCTCTTCCTCTTCCTCCAACCCAGAGTCCGTGGCGTCCACCAACCAGATCTCACTCGTGGTAAAGTTGCACAGACCTGGACCTGACCACTCTTCTTTCTGGCCCTGTACTCGGGCAGGGCCATCCACTGTGAGATGTGGGTTTGGGGTACAGGGAGGCACTGGACTCTGAGTGGGCTTCACAGCCTGGGGTTCCAGACACAGCTGCCTGATCTACCCACAGGGTAGTCCACCCTATTCATCAGGGCCTCACGGTTGCCCCGGCAGAAAGTCACATCCCCACTGAGCAGGTGGGCAAGCCAAGGCTGAGAGAGGTAAAGGACCTGCCCACTCTCCTGGGCAGTGCCAAAGCAGGACCCCAGGCCGAGTCCCAGGTTTTCGGGGCAGTCAGATGCTAGGCTAATCTCTGCGCTCACGTCTCATGCTCCAAACCCACCACAGCCCTGGGAGGTGTGGGTGCTGCCCACAGTGTGTAGATGAGGAAAACGAGAGTCGGAGGCTGGCTCATTCTGTGGCCTCACTACCGCCAGTGGTGGGTGGAAAACCCACCGGCAAAACTCCACCTGTTTTGCCATGTGGCTGGGTTTGGTTCTCCCCACCCAAGAGGAAAACCTCATTCAGGGCATACACTGAGAGTTCTTTCTGATTTCAAAATATTAGCTTTGAAATCCTGAGTCCAAATGGGGAAAATACTGGGACACATTTGGAAAAGATTTTTTTGAGATATAATTGACATACGACATTATATTAGTTTCAGGTGCACAACATTATGATTCCATATTTGTATATATTGTGAAATGATCACCATGATAAGTAGTTAGCATATGGTTATAGAATTTTTTTTTCTTGTAGATTTCAGGATTTCTGTATCCTTTGACCATGTTTTCCTTCATTCCCTTCCTGGAAACCCCCAAAGTTCAGGCTTTGCCTTTCTCACTGCATGGGTGTGTAAGTGCCCACCGAGGGTTACTAGCTCCTCCCACACCCCAGAGAGACAGGACATCTTTGGAGCATGAGGCCTAGAGGGAGCTGTGTTTATGGGAATGACCACCTGTTCTGAGCCAATCCCCAGTTCCCTCTGGCCTTCATGTCTGGTCCACATGATTAGCCCCTGCAACACAAATGGGAACAGGTCAGAAGGCTCCAGCCCAGGCTCCATGGCTTCTGGTGGACTGTGTGACCTTAGACAGGTCACGTCCCCTCTCTGGGCCTTCAGCAGCCTCAAAATAAATAGCATCTGAGGAAACCCTTCAGAAAGCAGAGTTAAGGGTTCTGGTGTTCTTTCTACATCACCTGGAATCCTAACCGGGACCATTTGTCCCCCTCTCTCTAGCAATGGCCAATGTACATGGTGGACTATGCCGGCCTGAACGTGCAGCTGCCGGGACCTCTGAATTACTAGACCTCAGTGCTGAATCAGGACCTCACTCAGAAAGACTAAAGGAAATGTAATTTATGTACAAAATGTATATTCGGATATGTATCGATGCCTTTTAGTTTTTCCAATGATTTTTACACTATATTCCTGCCACCAAGGCCTTTTTAAATAAGTAAAAAAAAAAAAAAAAGTGTTGCCTTTGCTCTTAACTGTTGCGTCTTCTCTTTTAGAATTGCAGCTGCAGCTGGGTGAGGTCAGGAAACCCAGCTCAGGTGGCCTGCCAATACCATCTTTCCTTGCCAAAGTAGTGGTCCCTGACCATTGGGCCCTAGTGTCTGGGTACAGACTCTACTCATTTCTCTGTTGCTGGGCCCATGTGACCTCAGGAAGAGGGGCCTTGTAATGCCAAGTGCCAGACCAGCCCTCAAGCACACAGTGTGGTAGGGGGCTGTCTTGGCTCCAATAACTCAGGTGAAGTCAAACTTGTCAAGTATGATCATGAAGTGTGGGATCTCCATGGCTGGAGGGAAGGCATCTTGGAGAAGGGGCTTTGGGTTGGGCCTGGAGAGTAGGGTGGAGTTCTGATATAGCTCAAGGTGTTTGAGTAGCAGAATGATGGGTCATATTTGCATATCAGAAAGACCACTTTGGTGGCAAGTGGAAAAGTGTTAAAAGAGGTAAGACTAGAGGCAGAAACATAAGGGCTTGGCACACGGGTTGCTCATTCGCTCCTGGTGGAAAAGAGGCATGTGTGCTGAGGGTCCTTTCGAGGAAGGGCAGGGTGCCCTGGGAGCACAAGGCAGGGCATCCTCACCTAGTGCAGAATTGGGAAACAGTCCTTGAAGCTGAGACTTGAAGAGCACATTAGGAGTTGGTGGGACAAAGTGAGGAGAGATGGGGCAGATGGTGTTCTAGGAGAAGAGAGCCACATGTACAAAGGCAGGGAGGTTGGAACGAGACCCCGGAGCATTCCAGGAAAGGGAAGAAGTCACTGGTGCAGGGGGCTTGAGAGTGGCTGGAGGTGAGATAGAGGGTAGGTGGGGCAGGCGGCAGGCTGTGAACATGGTGCTGCACTGAAAGGGTGAGTTGGGACAGAAATGCAGCCTGAGTTCTGCTGACCCAGGGGTACACTCTGGGGCCAGGATTCATCCTTTTTCTCACAGGCTTA